AAACACCACCAGCTTCCCCACTTCATTAGTCACCTCCTGCTTACTCCTCAGGAGACTGACCCTAGATTTCCTCCTCTCCTAAAAACTGACTGTGCTACTGTCCCAAGGGCAGCCCAGAAGTTCATCCAGTTCCCAACCTAGCACGGTCAGCAGGTGCCTGGGGTCCTGACTCTGCCTAGAAACCACTGCCACCTGCCTCTGAAGCTTTCTCACCGCTGCCTGGGATGACTGGATCTCTTTCCTACCAAATGGTACAGAACAGGTGAGTGAGAAACAACTTCCCAGACAAGCGCAAGCGTTGCCGTCACTTCCTTGATGCTTTTACCCCCTAGCCTCTCCTCTCCTTCCACACAGCCATCCGCTTCTTACCTGTTTTCAGCCTTGCCAGTGTCCCATCCGACAGCCTCAGTTGCTGAGCATGTCCATCTCTGTGTGAGGAAGAGGTGAGGGAGGGTGTAGGTGGCCTTGACAGTGGGCAGCTCTCTCTCTCTCAGGAATGCAACCCTCAACTCTAGGTCCCCATTTCCATGGTAATTCTGCCATGGCCCCTGCACCTGCTCTGTGAGCTTCCCCAGCTCCCTCTGCTGACCTTGCAGCTCTTGCTCAGACTGCACCTGCTGACTGGTTAGCAACTGCTGCACTCCCTGCACCTGGTAGAGGGAGGATTCTTTTTTTAACTTTTATTTAATGAATATAAATTTCCAAAGTACAGAATATGAATTACAATGGCTTCCCCCCCATAACGTCCCTCCCACTCGCAACCCTCCCCTTTCCCACTCCCTCTCCCCTTCCATTCACATCAAGATTCATTTTCGATTCTCTTTATATACAGAAGATCATTTTAGCATACATTAAGTAAAGATTTCAACAGTTTGCTCCCACATAGAAACATAAAGTGAAAAATACTGTTTGAGTACTAGTTATAGCATTAAATCTCAATGTATAGCACACTAAGTACAAAGGTCCTACATGAGGAGTAAGTGCACAGTGACTCCTGTTGTTGACTTAACAAATTGACACTCTTGTTTATGGCATCAGTAATCAACCTAGGCTCTTGTCATGAGCTGCCAAGGCTATGGAAGCCCACTGAGTTCACCGATTCTGATCATATTTAAACAAGGCCATGGTCAAAGTGAAAGTTCTCTCCTCCCTTCAGAGAAAGCTACCTCCTTCTTTGATGACCCGTTCTTTCCACTGGGATCTCACTCACGGAGATCTTTCATTTAGGTTTTTTTTCCCCCCCGATTGTCTTGGCTTTCCATGCCTGAAATACTCTCATGGGCTTTTTAGCCGGATCCGCATGCCTTAAGGGCTGATTCTGAGGCCAGAGTGCTGTTTAGGACATCTGCCATTCTATGGGTCTGCTGTGTGTCTCACTTCCCATGTTGGATCATTCTCTCCCTTTTTTATTCTATCAGCTAGTATTTGCAGACACTATTCTTGTTTATGTGATCCCTTTGGTTCTTAGTCCTATCATTATGACCAATTGTGCACTGAAACTGATCACTGGGACTAGTGAGATGGCATTGGTGCATGCCACCTTGATGGGATTGAATTGGAATCCCCTGGTATGTTTCTAACTCTACCGTTTGAGGTAAGTTAGCTTAAGCATGTCCCAAATTGCACATCTCTTCAGAGGGAGGATTCTACTAAGCAAGAAAGGCACACACAAGTCTCCTAGAGCCACTCACAAGGGGAAATAAAGCAGATGTTACACATATGGAGAAAAAGAATAGAACCTCCCACACACTAGAGAGGCACACAGCCCCAAGAGGAGGCTTATCCTTCTCCCAATCCTGAAGCCAACGCCTGGTGCTCTGCTCCCTACCAGGCCTTGCCCGGATCACACTGCGGCCCCTTGTTCTGACCCACACAACACAGTATTCTGCTCACATATCTACACCTGGGCCTGCACTGGGGCACAAGAGAAAAGCTGTTCTCTAAGTCAGTGGTTTCCAAATGTTCATGTGCATCAGCATCATCTAGGGCTTGTTAAACACAAATCACAGAGCCTACGCCTTGAGTCTCTGATTCCAGACTGGGGTGGGACCCCAAACTAGCATTTATAACAAGCCCACAAGTGATGCTGATGTGCTGATACAGAGCCCAAGTTTAAGAACCAACACCTTAGCAAATAAGCAGCCTTACCCCAGCTACTTTGCCTTCTGATCCTCTACTTTTCAGATTCTGAGCAGTCTTAAGCAGGAAGCAACCCGGGCACCTTAACTCCTCTATATGCTCATTCTATCTTACTCTAAACTCACAGGGAGTTTCTCCCCTCCCTCAGAGGCTGCTTTGTAGGGTGGTTAAGAATGCACTGAACCTGAAGATAGAGCTGCGTTTAAGTCCTGCCTCTGCTGGTTACAAAGTAGGGTTTCAGCAAGTTACTAACTTCTGAGCCTCTGCTGCCTCGTGCAGGAGATGGGAATAAAATCTTCCCTCTGGCAGAATGCATGCAGAACTTTACCCCATGCCTAGAGTCCAGTGTGCCTTACAATGATTAGTTACTAGCATTATTGTTGCGAGAATCATCAAGACAAGATCCACGTTCCTGAGTCTTCTCTTGATGAAGCACTCATTTATCCATCAATCCTGTGCAGCTGGGCTGAGCCCCACAACCACCACCACCAAGTCCTAGTTTCGGCCATTCCTGCCTCCATCTGCTTCCATTGCTTATCATTGTCCCATAGTCTCTCATCTGAAGGATTGCAAGTCCTTTAAATTATTCCCTAGGCAAACCCCTCTTTTGCGCATCTGCTTTTCACTCAAGTATCTCCATCTTCTCATGCCACAACTCTGCTTAGAAAGTGTCAAAGGCCTCCCAAGATGCAAGCCAGAATATCCCAAAAAAGAGGCAGAACCCTCCCTTTTCTGGATCCAGAGTGAAGCATCTACATGGTGTCGATTAAACCTACTGAGCATAAGGAGTAGTTGAGCAGGAAAGGTCAGGTGTCCAGAACGGGGAAAAAAAAAACACAAAAGCCAATCCGACACAGGGAAAGGGATTCCATGTCCCTTCACCCTAAAGTAGTCACACCCACAGTTTAGAAACCTACATGGTCCAGGCCAACATCAGTCAGAAAAAAACTAACTTGGAGAGTGGAAAAGCCCCAGCTTGCTCCTAGCATCAGAAGCTCTGCTTTATGCAGGCCAACGCTGTAGCATAGTAAATAAATCCTCCACCTGGGGCGCCAGTGCCAATATTCCATACAGATGTTGGTTCTAGTCCCAGCTGCTCCTCTTCTGATCTGGCCTGGAAAAGCAGTAAAAGATGGCCCAAGCACTAAGGCCCCTGCACCCACATGGGAGACCCAGGAAGAACTTCTGCTTCAGGCTGGGCCATTGAAGCCATTTGGGGAGTGAGCCAGTGGATGGAAAACCTTTCTCTCTGTCTCTACCTCTCAAATAAATAAAATCTTTTTGAAAAAGAAGAAGAAAAAGAAGGGGAAGAAGCCCTGCTTTGTGAGCTTCTGTGATGCCCAAGGAAGCTCAGAACATAGTGAGAGAAGTAGGATTGTCCCAGCTTTCTGCAAATCCACTCTAAGTCAAAGAACGGACTGCAGCCTACCTAAGCATTGCTTAGTTCAACTTCAATTACATTTTCTCTTCTTCTCCCCTAATGACAGTTATTGCAACTGAAAAATATTTCAGGGATCAAATTTTCTTATTCTACTAATAACAGAAAAGACTCACACACTGAGTAAGTGGCAAAGCCAGAAATGAATCCAAGTGTTTTAATTCGAAGTTAATTTTTTCCATCGTGGTGTATTTCCCCAAACTATTTCATCTTCCACCATCCCTAATCTGTTGCTTCCCAGGCAGCCAACCATGTCAGAGCATGAATTCTTGCTAAGTTTAGCCAGTCTCAGAAAGCCCCCTTTTCCCAGAATGACTCTTCTGTGAGGCTGGCTCTTTCATTGGACAGTACTGGGTTCTTTAATGGGAGAGTGAAGAAAGAAAGTATGAAGAGATGATGTCAGAGGAGGGTGGCTAGAGTGGTCAATGTCCTTCTACCTCATGGACTCTGAGAACTCAACAGGAGGCCCAGGCTCCCAGGCCCAGCCTGCTCACACCACAGCTCAAGCTTGACTCCGAATCACAATTAGGGAGGCTTCCCAGGTGATTCCAATGTGTAGAATCAGTGTTGTAACAGCCATACCATAGCTCTTCTCAGACTTCAAGGCTGATCAGCGGGGAATACGAACTTTCTGGATGGGAAACAGATGAGTATGAGACAATGTGGGCAATTCTTCAGCAGCAGTGTAAAAGTAAAGCTAAACAGCCACCATACTGTTATCGTACAGCCTTCATTTTTTTCTTACAGTTTTTCTTTTTCTCCTCTTCTGGCCCATGAAATTGTAAGCACAAAGCAGAAATGCAGGCAGGATCAAGGCTATTTGTCATTAGAGGTGAGTGTCACACATTTTCTTGAGAGTTCACAGTGAATCCCTACAGCTGGAATAACAATGCTCGCTCCTTCCACAGGTCTACTAAATTACCTGCTTTGCCTATTGCCCAACATTCCCTCCGACCAGGACTCATCCAAGGAATTGCCTGCCTGCGAGAAATCTGGGGAGGCGTTCTGAGACACATTTATACGTTGTTTGTTACCAGCTCAAAAGCATATGGATGGCTTGAGTGTCATCAGCTGGCTGGGATCTGGATCGAAGAAAAGGATCAGGAATCACCCAGGGAGGAAACTATATGTATGTTTGGGAGCCCATGATATCACAGCAGAACCCATAAATACATGGTGAGCAAGTCTCTTTGATCTCAGGTATATAAATTGGACTGTGTTTCATGTGTGTCTATAAATAAGTTGGGAAAGGCAGTATGAGGCAATGAATGATAGCAGGATTTGAAGCCAATTCAAATCTATCCATAACACTAACAAGACCTACATTCATGGGGAAAGTTTTGAAATCTCTCTCAGCGACAACTTGTCACCTATACAATAAGGATAAAAATATTCACTTTACAGGTTTGTTTGAAAGATTAGTGTTCTTCTATGTGGGTACCTAGTATGGTAAATGGAAACAATGGGAATTCAATGAACAATTGTTACAGGAGGAATAACAACAATAACTGTATTTGGAGCAGCAGCAATAGTTATTCTTAGAGTATATGGACAGAGAATAGTTTATATCCCAGTCTGAAAACTTTTATTTAGTTGTTGTTATTTTAAAAGCTTGTCATATGTCACACTCATAGGCATGCAGTTGAAGCTTACACTTATTATAGCACAATTCCTTTTTTTCTTAAGATTTTTTTATTTGAAAGGCAGAGTTAGAGAGAGACAAAGGCAGAGAGAGAAAACACTTCTATCTGCTGGTTCACTCCCTAAGTGGCTGCAACAGCAATCAGCTGGGCTGATTCAAAGCCAGGAGCTTCTTCCGGGTCTCCCACATTGGTACAGGGGCCCAAGGACTTGAGCCATCTTCTACTGCTTTCCCAGGCCACAGCAGAGAGCTGGATTGGAAGTGGAGCAGCTGGGACTGGAACCAAAGCCCATATGGGATTCAGAAACTGCAGGAGGCGGCTTTATCTGCTACACCACAGCGCAGGCCCCCACAATTCCTTTTATTTTTTAAAAACACTATCTAACAAACACTTTACCACACATACTTATTTTTGTGTTATGTGTGTAGTGACACCACTTACTGTCTATTCTTGGCAATTTTTTTATTTGCATGTCATTGTTCTTTCTTTAACTTTATTTAAGGAACACAAACGTGATGCATTTCATATATATGAATTTGGGAACATAATGATTCTTCCCCCACTAACTCCCTTGTGCCCATACTCCCACCCTTCTTCCTCCTTCCTCTCTCATTTGCATTCTTATTTTTCATAAAGATCTACTTTCAATTAATTTTATACTCATAAGATTAACCCTACACTAAGTAAAGAGTTCACCGAATAGTATGAAGAACAAAGAAAAAACAACAAAAAAATTGTTCCTCAAAGTCAAGACAAGGGCTGTTCAAAAATATTGCATCACTAAGTGTAACACAATTTCCTTAAGAAAGGCATTTTAATTGCTATTTTCAAGGTTCTGATGATATTAGAAGGCTTAAAATAATATTTTTTAGTCCTTAGATCAGTGAAATCAAGTTAATCAAATAACCTCTAAAAGCATTGAGGAAAAAATCCTATGATAATACACTGGGGAAATTCATCTAAATTTGAAATTGAGAAATCTCTTGCTGAGTATATGAAGAACTTACTTTTACAGAGTACTTGGTCAAGAACACAACAATCAAACACGACCTGGCAGAAAGATCTATGGAAACTGTCTTCTACTAGTTGTGCTTCATGCAAATTACCAAGAAAAACCTAAATTGTCTTTTAGATGAAACAAAATATGAAATAGCTGTGTGGCTTTGGGAATTTTTTTTAAAGATTTATTTATTTATTTGAAAGTCAGAGTTAAACAGAGAAAAGAGAGGCAGAGAGAGAGGTCTTCCATCCAATGGTTCACTCCCCAATTGACCACAATGGCCGGAACTGCACCAATCTGAAGCCAGGAACCAGGAGCCTCCCCGGGTCTCCCACGTGGGTACAGGAGCCCAAGGACCTGGGCCATCTTCTACTGCTTTCCCAGGCCATAGCAGAGAGCTGGATTGGAAGTGGAGCAGCCAGGTCTCGAACCAGCGCCTATATGGGATGTCAGTGCTTCAGGCCAGGGCATTAACCCACTGTGCCACAGTGCCTGCCCTGGGAATTTTTTTTTAAGATGTATTCATTTATTTGAAAGGTAGAGTTACAGGGAGAAAGGGAGAGACAGAGAGCTTCCAACCACTGGTTCAATCCCCAAATGGCAGGGACAGCTGGTGCTGGGCCACGCCAAAGCCAGGAGCTTCATTTAGGTCTCCCATTTGAGTGCAGAGGCCCAAGGACTTAGCCATTTTCTGCTTTATCAGGTGTGCCAGCATGGAGCTGGATTGGAAATGGAGCAGCTAGCACTGGAACCAGCACCCACATAGGATGCCAGCACTGAGGGGCCACAGGTCAGCCCTGGAAATGTTTCTTAACCTCTTTGAGCATGTTTCCCTATTAGTAAATCTTGGATAATAATTACAGTAATGGGTTGCTGTTATGTAAGTGGAACTAATACTCTGGTAGTACACATGAAGTAATTAGTATAGTACCTACTGCTTTGATGTTGGCTCTCATTTTTGTGTATTACTGCTAACATTAAACTGACTTAATAGAAGGATTTAAAGTCATATCAGAGAACAATAACCCGGCTAATTTTCAGTAACTAATCTTGCCACAAGATTAAAGTTTCAGGGATGTCACAGGCTCTTGGAGTCCTCGTTTATTCTCAATTTGTCAAGGAGGAGCTACTAAGCTACAAAGTTTTAGTTTACTTTTGTTTTTTCAAAGATTTACTTATTTCTTTGAAAGGCTGAGTGACAGAGAAAGAAAGATTTCTTTCCATCCTATGATTCACTCCATAAATGGCCTCAACAGACAAGGATGGGCCAGGCTGGAGCTAGGAACTGGATCCAGGTCTCCCACATGGTTGGGAGGGATGCAAGTACTTATACCACCATCTGCAGCTTCCCAGGTGCATTAACAGAGAGCTAGGCTGGAAATGGAGCAGTCAGGACTCAAACTGGTGCTCCAATATGGGATGTAGGCGTCCAAGCGGCAGCTTAACCTACTGTACCACAGCACCAGCCCCTAAACTACTAGATTTTAGTCAAGAAAACTGGTTAAACTAAATGATGGTGTCTATATTAAACCATTTTAGGTTATCTTTTTCCTAGAAAGTTTGGTCAAAAAGTTCTGAAGTAATTGGTTTTTCATATCGAACAGTGGGAGAGTATTCCTCACTAGTTCTCAAACTAGCTTTGTCATAGCTCTCAAAATGGAGGAGCACACAAGGAGTTGTTAAGGGAAGAAACACTCAAAGTCCAATAGAATGGAATCTACTTATAGTGCACTCATCCTTAAGTAATGGTGCCAGAGACTTTGAAATACACAAGGCAAGCCTTTCTATCTTATTTACTTATTATCAATTACTTCTTCAACACAGATTTGGCCAGCTGCTATACTAAACAACCCCTAAATCCCACTTTTTAAAATTTTTTAAAGATTTATTTATTTTATTTGAAAGGCGGAGTTAAAGAGGGAAAGAAAGAGAGACAGGGAGAGGGAGGGAGGGAGGAGGAGAGAGAGAGAGAGAGATCTTGTCACTCCCCCTCTTCATGGAGGAAGGACACTAAACCCTGCGTTGTTCTTTTGTCTGCTCGGCCCTTCCCGGGTTTGCTGCTGGTCCTTCCCGGGTTGGCTGGCAACCCCTCCACCTCCGTGGAGGGGCGGTTCCCTCTGCCACTTTCCCCACTTCCGCGGGGGAGCGGCACACCGCCAGCTGGCTCTCTCGGGGGCTGCTCAGATGTTATCCGGATGTTCCCCTTAGATGTTCCTTGTGCATGTTGTCTCTCTCCTCCTTTATAGTCCTCTTCCACCAGTCCCAACTCTGCTACCCACACGCCGAGTATGCTGCTCTCCTCCAATCAGGAGCAGGATCAGCTCCTGCAGGTTATTGGTCGAACTGGAGGCAGCTGTGTAAAAGTTGTTTACTCCTCTCTCAGCGCCATATTGTGGGAGAGCAAATGCATAGAATAAATCTTAATTCCAGTAACTTAGTCTAGTCCGAGTTGCTCCCCACAAGATCTTCCCTTTGCTGGTTCACTCCCCCAAATGGCTGCAATGGCAGAAGCTGAGCTGAAGCCAGGAGTCTGGATCTTCTTCCAGATCTGCTATGCAGGTACAGGGGCCCAAGGACTTGAGCCATCCTCCGCTGCTTTCCCAGGCACATTAGCAGGAAGCTGGATTGGAAGTAGAGCAGCCAGGACTCAAATGGAATACCAACACTGCAGGCAATGGCTTTACCCACTATACCACAGTGCTGGCCCATATATATATATGTATATATGTGTGTGTGTGTGTGTATGGGCCATATATATCATATATATAATATATAATATATTATATATTATTATATATTATATATTATAATTATATATTATATATTATATTATATAATATATATGATATATAATCTAAAAAAAGAATATATATTTATATATATATGATATATATATGATATATATAAGATATATATATTCTTTTTTTTAGATTTTAAGCTCTGGCTGTTGTGGCCAGAGCTAGGCTGATCTGAAGCCAGGAGCCTCTTCCAGGTCTCCCACACAGGTACAGAGACCCAAGGACTTGGGCCATCTTCCCCTGTTTTCCCAGACCATAGCAGAGAGCTAAATCAGAAGAGGAGCAGCCAGCTCTCAAACCGGCACCCATATGGGATACTGGCACCACAGGTGGAGGCTTAGCCTACTATGCCACAGTGCCAGCCTCTCCACTGGTTTTATACTACAAGATTTAGGTCTCGTACACTAAGTCCATTAAGTTAATCCTGATCAAGAGCTTTTGTCTGAGTGATGACAAAATCTCAAATACAGGAGACTCTTATTGCATATAGTAAGTTGAGCTGGCGTCTAAAATGCCGGCATCCCATATTGGAGCCGGGGTGCTTGTCTTGGCTGCTCTAGTTCTAATTCAGCTCTCAATTAATGTGCCTGGAAGAAAAATCAATGATGGCCCAAATACTTGGGACCCTGCCACTCAAACAGGAGACCTGGATGGAGTTCCAGACTCCTGGCTCTGGTCAGGCATAGTCCCAGCTTTGTGGCCATTTGGGAGTTAACCAGAGATGGGGAGATCTGT